CCCTTTTTTTGGTCTCAGGCCCTTTTCCCTTGCTCTATACTTTTATAATCAGGAAAAAAAAAACTTTTTCACAAATAAGACACTAAAATTCAGGATCCATAAATAAAAGTTTCAGAAACTTGTTTACATAATAATCTTAAACATCATATGGTAAAAAAAAAAAAAAAGTAAAATACAACAGTCAATGATAAATGGGAAAAACATATATGTACACTAGACTCTGACACACAATGGGCTAGTAGTTAAGAGCCCAAACTCTTGGGTGTCTCTCAATCTCCCTGTGCCTCAGTTCCTTCACATGTAAAATGGGGGTGATAACAGCACCTACTTCTTAAAATTGTGGTGAGGGTTAAGTAATTTAATAGAACAGTTTTTGGGATACTTCAAATACCATACAAGTGCTACTTATGATAATGATTAATAAGAAGCCACAAGAAAAATAGGCAAAGGATGTCATTAGGTAGTTTGCAAAAAAGTTAATACAAAATGATCAATAAACATATGAAAATATGGTTGATTTCATGCAAGATGAAAAACATACATTTGTTCATTTTACAAATATTTAAATATGTATTAAGTCCCAAGGAGGCACTGGGAATAGAATAGTAGACATTTTACTCTCATGGAGTTTATATTAATTTGTGTGTGTGTGTGTGTGTGTGTGTGTGTGTAATATATAATATATCATGTGGTGGTGATTTAACATATCATGTGGTGATTGTGTCTAAGGGAAGAGCTTTCCAAAAAGAAGAAGAAGAAGAAGAAGAAGAAGAAGAAGAAGAAGAAGAAGAAGAAGAAGAAGAAGAAGAAGAAGAAGAAGAAGAAGAAACAATAAGGGCATAGGCCTGGAAGCAGAAGCCAGCTTAGCTTACTCAAGGAACAGCAATAAATCGAGTTTGTTTGAGGCAATGCTAAGTTGATAGAAAGTGAGGTCTAAGAGTCTAGAGCCAGATTCAGTAGGGCCTTAAAGGCCAGGAAAAGAACTTGAAACTCCACCAGGAGTGAAAATAGGAAGCCTGCTATCACCTAGGAATATTGTATTCAGCTACATATAACCAGGATCCAAATAACAAAGACTTAAATAGGATGGCATTTTGAACATTACACTGATCTTAAGACACTATTGCCTGTGAGACACTCCAGTATATTATGTGCCACCAAGAAAGAAAAAAAATGCTGCCAAATATAATTATAAACTGTCATTTAAAGATTTCAGGGATGTTGAAACATGCAGAGATGTACCTCTTAGAGCTGACAAAATATGATATTTTTTTCTCATGTAAGAATAGGTCCAGAGGTGATCAGCTTTTTGGTCTTTCCATCATGATTGGTTGCAAAATGGCTATCAGCTATAGCCTTTAAATCCTCATTTCCAGAAAGGAGAAAGAGAAGGGGGAAAATGCCTTTTAGTCTTTTATGGTAATTTAAGGATCATTTTTTAAAGTCTACCCCAAAAAACTCATTGGAAGTTTTTACTGGCATTGCATTGGGTGTGTAGATCAATTTGGAGAGAACTTCTATATATTACAGTCTAAATTATATTTCATTAAAAAAATACAGTTGGACCTCCCTATCTGTGGGTTCTGAGTCGTGGGATTCAACCAACCACAGATCGAAAATATTCAGGAAAAAAAAAAAAAAAAAGGATGGTTGCATCTGTACCAAACAGGTACAGACTTTTTTTCTTGTCACTATTCCCTAAACCAGGAGTCTCCAACCCCGGGGCTGCCTGTCAGGAAGGGGACCGCACAGCAGGAGGTGAGCAGCGGGCAGGCCAGCATTATGGCCTGAGCTCCGCCTCTTTCAGATCAGACGCGGCATTAGATTCTCATAGGAGCACAAACCCTATTGTGAACTGCGCATGCGAGGGATCTAAGTTGCATGCGCCTTATGAGAATCTAATGCCTGGTGATCTGAGGTGCCACAGTTTCACCCTGAAATCATCTCCCTGCCCCTAGAGCCCCCCATCCTTTCCCCACTGCTGGTTAAAAAAAAAAAAAAAAAAAAGTCTTCCACAAAATGGGTCCCTGGTGGTGCCAAAGAGGTTGGGGATCACTGCCCTAAACAGTAGAGTACAGGAACTATTTACATAGCATCTGCATTGTATCAGGTATGATACAAAAAGTAACCTAGAGATAATTCAAAGTAACCTAGAGATGATTCAAAGTATATGAGGGGCTGTATATAGGTTATATGCAAATACTACATAATATTTTATATCAGAGACCTGAATCTCTATGGATTTTGGTATCCACAGGGGTCCTGGAACCAATCTCCCACGGATACCGAGGGACAACTGCATGTATAAAACATACTTGTATTTGATAGACAATTTCTTAAAGGCTAAATGTGAAACTGCTAACAAGTAGTTATCTCAGGGGAATAAAAATGGGTGTGATTGGTCGGGGAGGGAAGAGCTTTAACTTTTCATGTTATGCCTTCTATACCTACCTTGTTATTAAAAAACACAAATATTGTATATATTACTTTTATAATAATAAATATAAACCAGCAACTTTTAAAGTGGAATGTGCATCACCCTGGAATACAGGAGTTTTAAGGGGATCAATTTCTATATCCTCAAATTTCCTGTGTAGTCTTTTAAAATTGACCTGCCAGAGAACACACTTGCAGTGTAGGAATCAAGCTGGTTCTCTTTTTCTATCTCCCCTTTCACAATGGTCTTTTTTGCACTTTACAAAAGAAAAAGCATATCTTTTACCTATCCTGAATCTTAACCTGGGTGCACTGCCCTGTGATGTAAAATCCTTGGGGCACAGGAGAGACAATTCCAAACACTGCTGACGATGGTAAACAAACAACTTGCTCTAACAAATGAATGGGGATCAAATTCTTTTGCAACTCAGATGGTTTCCAATTCTTTGCTTCCAGTAGAATTGAAGAAAAAACCTATGAAGTTATCAGTTGATAAATTATCAGAAATAATTTTGAGGATAAATCAGTGTGTCATTTCCCTCCATATATCTCCAAAGGAATTCAAAGACTTGCATGCATTGCTAAAACAAAATGTCCATTCCTATTCACTTATTCATATAAATGAGGTTTCTGTGTGCTAACATTTAACCAAACAAAAAATAGGAAGACAATTGATGCTGAAGCCTATCTCATTCTAGCACAAACCAATGTTTATCCATGGATACACCCATTAATATGTTTTTAAAAGCCCTATCTACAATGAACTTTTGTTTATGTTTAATAATTACCTATCAAAATTTGTAATATGTTCACAATGTTTTGATTCATTTTATTCTAATTGTCATAATAATTCAAGCAAGAGCAAATTTTTAAACAACACTTAGAGCCTTATAATCAGAGGAACATTTAAAAAGCATTGAAATTGAAAAATATATACGCATTTTTGCTGCAGAGAAATACTATAGGATAATAAAAACATTTCAAGTGCAAAAATAGACAATTATTGAGACAAAATTCTGTTGGAAAAACAGAATGGAATTAAGAGCTGAGAAAAGGGAAAACGTACAACTTCCAAGTATCAAAGAAGAGCTCAGTTATAAATTTTTAAAACAGATGATGGTGGCTCTCAAATCACTAAGGTATTTAGGTTTCACTGGATTCATGTGAAATAGTGACATAACAGTTTTATTTTTGAATATTAACATTTGTCACAAATTACATTATTTGTAGCCAATTGACATTTATGATGCAAAATGTCAGATATCAACCCAAAAATGTGTGAAGGAGCACACGTTTTTCTTAATATTTTTAGAGAGCATTTTATATAAACCAATAGTTTTATATAAACATACAAAAAATATATGAGGAATTGTCACTTACTCTTTTGCCACCTTGTGGTCAGAGTTGGATTTATCACCCAGGTGCATCTACTGCGAAGGAGAGCTGTCTCTCCTAAGGATAGCCCCTACTGCCTGCATTCTGTCAGAACTTTGTGAGGCAGAGATGGTAACATTTGCCAGGATCTGGGTCCAGATCCACATAAGGACAAAGCATCTAAAGATTCTGGTGACATCCTCCACACGTGATTCAAAACAAAAGCATCATGTAATCAGGAAATGAACGTAAGGAAGTACAACAAAGTTCTGATTTTTTCCACGAGGACTACTTAAAAAAAAAATCAAATGTCAAACTGTTTGTGGTATTTTTTCTTTTTTGATTTTTTGTTTTTGATGCCTCTTCTCTGCTAGTCACACAGACTTTCCTTAGTGTGCCTTTTGGGGAAGCCATCCCTGATTTCAGTAGCCCTGGGGTAGGTTGGAGTGCTGTGTCCACAGCTCTTAGTACCTCTGGCCCTGGATCAGTGCAGAATAAACATTTGTTGAGTGAATGGTGACACAGCCCTCCATTTTTCAGAACACACTGGCCTGGGCAGAGTCCAGGTGGACCTATGGGCTTCTGCAGGAAGTTGATCACTAAGTCAACAAGTTACCATGGCTAATCTTCAATGGTAGACAGTCCCAGGTACACAGAGATCTTTAGGTCTTTTTGTTGTCTGTCTGGAGGTGGGATGAGAGTATCCTCCATCCCCTCATCCATGACCTCGGTTGTTTTTAGCAGCAGCAGCAGTAGGAACAGCAGCAGCAGCAGCAGAATTCCTTCAGTGAGTGTGCTAGTTGCAGTTCCTCTGGTTGCAGGCCACAAAGGGCAGGCACTTATTGAAAGAATGCTGGGGTGCTTCAAGGAATTGAAGCAAGAGCTGACTCAGGAAGGGCAGGGCCCAGGGTGACCCTCAGTTGTATGGAAACCAGGCATCCTCCTTTCAAGGGCTCCTGATTCCTGAGGACCAACTCCTGCTGCTAATCCTAGGAGGCCTCCCCGTCCCTTCCCTGGAGGAAGGAGCCAGGTGGAGAGCTGATGTCCAGTGCTGAGCAAGGAGAATGTTGCTAGGGTATGTACAGTCAGGCAGCACAGCTGCACAAGCCAGACAGCTACGGTCAGCCACCACCAGCACTCGGGGACTGGACTCTTCCTAGAACACTCTTTCTCCTCCAACCCATGTCCTGATGCCTGCCCTGGGCTGCACTGTCTGGGACCAGCAGCTACAGCCCGACACCCCTGAGCCATGCCCAAGGTCTGAGCCACTTGCTCTGGGCACACTCCTCGTGGCATTTGGGGTGCTGCTGCCCAGTGCCAGCAGCCCCTTGGCACAGGGGTTCCCAGAGGCCCTTCAGTGCCATGTCCGACCCCCTCTCCCTGCTGGTAGCTCCACAGGCTTCTTGCCACTTCCACCTGCTGCCCACTCCGGGACGCTGCCAGGGCTTAAGGGTCTTGGGACTGTGTCCTGTAGTTTAGGCCCCCTCTCAGCTATAGGGGAAGTGCCAGCTGTAGGGATGGCCTTGTCGTGCCTCGTCTCTCCAGCTGGCCTTGGAGAGAAGAGCTGGATTGTGCCCTCGGGCTGTTCAGCGTCTGCTGGGCCAGGAGGCCGGCTGTCACGCCATCAACCCACCCGTGGCCTTGGGAGCCCAGGAGGACACGAGCAGCAGGCCCAGACCCTGCAGAGCGCTGATAAGATGGGCCAGGGACACGCCTCTCCAGGCCCAGCGGCCTTAGTAGCCCGGCCCCTCCGGAGCTGGGGTCCAGGCCTCCCCAGAACTGCAGCTGGAGCTTCATCCTTTTCGGGAAGGGCAGGACCTGGCGTGGGAGGGGAGACTGGGACGGGGCTAGAGGCAGGCTCTGCCGCCGAAATGATGGCCTGTCACGGCTTCTGCCTGCGCTCCCCAGGACCCCCCTCAGAGGGGACATTTCACAGCCTCAAAACCATTTCTGGACTTGGCACCCGCTCGGCCCCCAGCCCCGCAGTGGCTAGGAGAAGCCTGTACGGACGAGGGGAAGGACGAGGAGAGGGGAGGAGACGATGAAGGGGGTCAGAGCAGCGATTGGAGCCGAGAGCTGGAAGCGCCTTAAAGAGACTGCGCGGTCCCCGCCCCCCTTCCCGCCAGCCTCAATGAATTAGAGCTGTGTTTCCCAAACTTGCCTGATCATAAGCAGCCTCTGGGGCCCTAGTTAGAGATACAGGTTCCGGAGTACCTCCCTTCGAGATTCTGATTCAGTAGGCCTGCGGGTGGAGCCGAGGAATCTGTAATTTTAACACGCTCCCACGTGATTCTCGTGAACAAGCAAGTTTGGGAAATACTGAATTAAAGGAAACGGGGCCTGGCTGCAGAAGCAGCCTCCACTAGGGGGCTTCGGCGGGAGGATTCCCGGGGGCGTCGCCTGCTTCCGCCGCCGCCTCCTTCAGTGAAAGTCCCTTTTGGGTCCAGCTGCCACAGCCACCGCGCTCCCTCAGGCCGGGCGGGGGACACCCCAGGTCTGCGTGGCCCCCGCGCCGCCACGCCCAGTGGCCGCTCGAGCCCTGCGAGCAGGGGGAGGAGCTGCCGCCAGTGGAGGCGGAGGAGGTAGAGGAGGCGGAGACGGCGGAGACCGCGGAGAAGGCGGAGAGGAAGGTGGAGGCGGAGGCGAAGGTGGAGGGGAAGGCGGAGGCGGCGGGGAAGGTGGAGGCGGCGGGGAAGGTGGACGCCACCGAGAAGGTGGAGACGGCGGGGAAGGTGGACGCCGCCGGGAAGGTGGAGACGGCGGAGGGTCCGGGCCGCCGGGCTGAGCTCAAGCTGGAGCCCGAACCCGAGCCGGTCCGGGAGGCGGAGCAGGAGCCGAAGCTGGAGCTGGAGGATGAGAACCCAGCGCGGAGCGGCGGTGGCGGCAGCAGCGACGAGGTTCCTCCCCCCACCCTTCCCTCCGATCCACCGCGGCCCCCCGATCCCTCTCCGCGTCGCAGTCGTGCCCCGCGCCGCCGACCCCGGCCCCGGCCCCAGACCCGGCTCCGTACCCCGCCGCAGCCTAGGCCCCGGCCCCCGCCCCGGCCCCGGCCCCGGCGCGGCCCTGGGGGCGGATGCCTGGATGTGGATTTTGCCGTGGGGCCACCAGGCTGTTCCCACGTGAACAGCTTTAAGGTGGGAGAGAACTGGAGGCAGGAACTGCGGGTTATCTACCAGTGCTTCGTGTGGTGTGGAACCCCAGAGACCAGGAAAAGCAAGGCAAAGTCGTGCATCTGCCATGTGTGTGGCACCCATCTGAACAGACTCCACTCTTGCCTTTCCTGTGTCTTCTTTGGCTGCTTCACAGAGAAGCACATTCACGAGCACGCCGAGACGAAACAACACAACTTAGCCGTAGACCTGTATTACGGAGGTATATACTGCTTTATGTGTAAGGACTATGTATATGACAAAGACATTGAGCAAATTGCCAAAGAAGAGCAAGGAGAAGCTTTGAAATTACAAGCCTCCACCTCAACAGAGGTTTCTCACCAGCAGTGTTCAGTTCCAGGCCTTGGCGAGAAATTCCCAACCTGGGAAACAACCAAACCAGAATTAGAACTGCTGGGGCACAACCCGAGGAGAAGAAGAATCACGTCCAGCTTTACGATCGGTTTAAGAGGACTCATCAATCTTGGCAACACGTGCTTTATGAACTGCATCGTCCAGGCCCTCACCCACACGCCAATACTGAGAGATTTCTTTCTCTCTGACAGGCACCGATGTGAGATGCCGAGTCCCGAGTTGTGTCTGGTCTGTGAGATGTCGTCGCTGTTTCGGGAGTTGTATTCTGGAAACCCGTCTCCTCATGTGCCCTATAAGTTACTGCACCTGGTGTGGATACATGCCCGCCATTTAGCAGGGTACAGGCAACAGGATGCCCACGAGTTCCTCATTGCAGCGTTAGATGTCCTGCACAGGCACTGCAAAGGTGATGATGTCGGGAAGGCGGCCAACAATCCCAACCACTGTAACTGCATCATAGACCAAATCTTCACAGGTGGCCTACAGTCTGATGTCACCTGTCAAGCCTGCCATGGCGTCTCCACCACGATAGACCCATGCTGGGACATTAGTTTGGACTTGCCTGGCTCTTGTACCTCCTTCTGGCCCATGAGCCCAGGGAGGGAGAGCAGTGTGAACGGGGAAAGCCACATACCAGGAATCACCACCCTCACGGACTGCTTGCGGAGGTTTACGAGGCCAGAGCACTTAGGAAGCAGTGCCAAAATTAAATGTGGTAGTTGCCAAAGCTACCAGGAATCTACCAAACAGCTCACAATGAATAAATTACCTGTCGTTGCCTGTTTTCATTTCAAACGGTTTGAACATTCAGCCAAACAGAGGCGCAAGATCACTACATACATTTCCTTTCCTCTGGAGCTGGATATGACACCGTTTATGGCCTCAAGTAAAGAGAGCAGAATGAATGGACAATTGCAGCTGCCAACCAATAGTGGAAACAATGAAAATAAGTATTCCTTGTTTGCTGTAGTTAATCACCAAGGAACCTTGGAGAGTGGCCACTATACCAGCTTCATCCGCCACCACAAGGACCAGTGGTTCAAGTGTGATGATGCCGTCATCACTAAGGCCAGTATTAAGGATGTACTGGACAGTGAAGGGTATTTACTGTTCTATCACAAACAGGTGCTGGAACATGAGTCAGAAAAAGTGAAAGAAATGAACACACAAGCCTACTGAAGTGACACACAGACCTACCTGCAATGGAAGATGACGACACCAATACTACAACTGGCATCGAGATCTAAAGGACCTACTTGACCATGGCCCATGGGCCTGACAGAGTAAGAATTGAACAGTACCCAGTGTCCAAAAGGTCCTGATTGGAAGAGAAATAGAAGGGGAGGGAGAAGAGGCTCTAGTCTAAACAGTTGATGAAAGGGAAATTAAATGGTAGAAACACTCTGGGTAAGGAAGGCAGGAGCAGGAAAATGCTGACACTGGTACATATCCTATATTCCTCCAAAAGATTGTGTGGGAAAGTGTGGGGGGGAGGGGGGTGGTGGGGGGGTGTGCCCTTGTAACCGTAAAACATCTTTCTCCATGGGTGTTTCAGCTTCAATTGACCAATCACATAACAGTTATATGTTTGGGGGGAAAAAGAAAAGTTTCTAAAAAATGTAGCCCATTACATATATGGGTATGAAAGCAGAAAAGTGGAGGAGGCAGGGATATCATTGACAAACACCTTTGCCAGTTTCTTTGTATTCGTGATTTTTTGTGCTATTAAATGCAGTATTAAAACAAGAAAAGCCCACCTGGGCTAGTGAAAGGAGAGGAAATAAGGGGGCTTGTATAAGGGGAGCACTCGCTCCAAAAGTAGAGAAGACAAGAAATGCTGTAAGATAAGCAACCAACGCAGACAGGCCTCAGCTAAGAGTATAGTGTGTGTGTTAAAAAAAAAAAAAAAAAAAAAAAAGCTGTGTGATATACTTGAGCAAATCAATGAACCTCTTTGCGATTGTTTTATCATCTGTAAAATGCAGATAATTCCTACCTTAAAGGGTTATTGTTAAAGATTAAATGATATAAAAATGTGTCAAAGTATAAAGTAAAAGGCTTGGAACTTTGTAGGGACTCAGTAAACGTTTGTTGGATCCAAACCTGAAACTTCTTTGGACCAGGCCCCGAATGCATCAGAGGTGGGGGTCAGTCCCGCCTGAGACCCCTGGACAGAAGGGACACACATCATGTCACATGCAGTCACACACACATTCTCCACAACTCCCTCCCCAATGCTGTCTATTTAGAGTACCAAGGCAATGAACTCCACTTTTGTCCCTTGTGTGCAGGGCATCACAGTGGGTGCCACCTGGGATTGGGGGTGGAAAGAACCATAGCTGTCCCATAAGGTCATTATTCTGTCCTTATGGAGGACAGTCGTGTTGCTTTCATGATTCAGATCCCAGTGATGGGACTCTCATAGGCTGCCAGGCTTGCACATGAGGGAATTTGGTGGTCTTCGTCTTCTAAAAACATTATGGGTTCAGTTGCTATGTTTACTCACAGGCACAGATCAGTAGAAAGACTGTTTTCCAAAGTTCACTGGCCCATCAGCCCAGGGATATTGATAGAATGGCTTGTTGGCCCCTTCCCTGATACTGACAGAGGGCAGAGCAGCCTGCAGAGAGCTGAACTGAAACAGGTGGGATGAACCCAGGGTGGAGTAAGCACTATGAGTCCTTCTCTCATCAGTGTCAGGTAGAAAAGTAATTATTACCTAGAGAATCCTGGAGGGAAATTAAACGTGTATCAGATCCATGGGGCTTGGATCCACTGGCTCTGGTAAAAGGCTGGGCTCCCCATTGCTTCCCAAGTCTACTTCATGGTCCACTCATTTGGAAATACATGTTTATTTACGTGGCTGTGGGTGCATCACAACTAGCTCATAGGCATTTTTAGGACAAGAGTTATGTCTCCTCTTGTACCTTGGGATGCATTCTCATTCCCTTGACTCCTGTCACATGGTAAGTAGGTATTCAAAACATTTACTGAATGAATGAATGGATGGATGAGTTAATGAATCAATACACCTTCCTTTCATAACCAAGATTTCATTAACACCTAGGGCTCATAATTTCAGGAAAAAATGTAAAAAGTTGTTATTTTTGGTGTCTTGTAGGATGGGAGAGATCAAGAGATGGGTGACTTTGGATGGCACTTGGCAACTTCGTGCAGGGTGTCTGACTACCTTTTGGGAAGGGTCTGGTATTCCTACCTGGAAGGACACAGCCATGTCCTCATTCTTCATCTCTGCCAGGGAAAGAGTCCAGGCAGGCCTGTGCCACCAGATCCTGACTGCTTGCACAGAAAGTGACCTTTAAAATTTTTAAACATTTTGATTTGGGAATCATTTCAAACTTACAGAAAAGTTGTAAAAAATAGTATAAAGAGCATCGGTATGCTCTTTACCAGATTTACCCATTGTGAAATTTTACCTCATTTGTATTATCATTTGCACATGTGCACTCTTATAAATGGGGGTGTGTATATTTTTGAACCATATGAAGATAATTACATATATCATGGCCCTTCACACCTAAATACGTCAGTGTACATTTCCTAAGAATAGGCACATTCCCCACATCACTACAGTAGAACTGCAGAAAATTTAACATTGATACGATACGTTAATCTACCATTTGTATTCCAACTTTGTCTGTCGACCCAGTAATGTCCTTTATAGCATTTTCCCACTCTATTGCAGAATCTGGCCTAGGGTGAAGTATTGCATTTAGTTGTCATATCTCTTTAAGCCTCCTTTAATCTGGAACATTTCGACAACCTTTCTTCATCTTGTATGGCATTCACATTTTTAATAGTACATTCCTCATTTTGGGTTTGTCTGACACAGGAAACCCTTTTAAATACCCTGCACTCAACGATAGTTCTAAGAGGAACTCACTGAGAGTTATGAATGGCACGAGATTGCTGAACCTGACCTCTCTGTCTCCGCTGGTGGAAGGCACAGACCGCCAGGGGGAGCAGCTGTGCCGGGCACTTCCTAATTGAACCTCACACCTCTATCTGGAAAACAGCATAGTCCCTTAGCAACAGGGCAACCATTCAAGGCCAGCCCTATGCCCCTACCAGTCACTAACCCCCGAACTGAGCAATGGAATGTAACAGCAGCCAGTGTCTGCCTTCAGATCATACCATCGTGGAACCCAAGGCATCATGTATTCAGCAGGTATGTGTTAACCTTAAACTGAGATCCAGGCATGTTTGAGAATGTCTGGCACATGGTCAGGCGCCTCTACGATTAGGGCCTTTAGGGGTATCAGGAAGTAGCACCCTTGGCACCTTCTTCAACATTCCGATAGTGAGCACAAGTACAGCAGTGGCAGGGGTAGGGAGGGAAGGGGTAACTAGTTCTTAAACAGCTTCATGGTCAGACTATACAAAGACAGGGGCCCAGAATAAGTAAGAAAGAACATGGGAGATGGTGAGAATGGATTGGTTTGTAACCTACTGGAGACTTGCAGACACAATTGGGTTATTTTTCATGTGGGCTGGAGTTCCTAGATGAGCAAATGGGGCAAGAACCGGTGAAATTTAAGCTAATTTTTTTCTTTTTTTTTGAGACAGAGTCTTGCTCTGTCGCCCAGGCTGGAGCGCAGTTCAATGGCGTGATCTCGGCTCACTGCAACCTCCACCTCCTGGGTTCAAGCAATTCTCCTGCCTCAGCCTACTAAGTAGCTGGGATTACAGGCGCCCACCACCATGCCCAGCTAATTTTTGGTATTTTTAGTAGAGACAGAGTTTTGCCGTGTTGGCCAGGCTGGTCTCGAACTCCTGACTTCAGGTGATCCACCTGCCTTGGCCTCCCAAAGTGCTGGGATTACAGGCTTGAGCCACTGCGCCAAGCTAAGTTAATTCTTTAACAGAGACTTCATTTACATCCACATACTGTTAGGACTGGGAGACTTGGTTCGTATGTAGATTTGTGATCTGGATTCAGAAGGGCACAGGTGAAATATGGGTGCTCACAACTGGGAGCATCAACCACCCATAGAGTTCAGAACCATGTACCAAACAATGAGATACTGCCCTGTCACCCATTACACATTCCTTCCCACAATTTCGTGGCATAATTTGGTTAGAAATCCAGGGCCCTGCCATTTACCATTTCCTGGAGTAGCCAGATGCTAAAACTGACTCTGGCCTACAGGTCACATTGGTAACTGTCTCTCTTATTCACTGTCTACAGGGAATTCTGATCAGGGACGCCATCAACCAAAAGGCCTTTTTCAAATCAAGAAACAGAATGGCCCCCATGCAACTCTTACTTTCAAAATGCAGTAGACCTGGTGCCAGAAGCCTGTGTTTCCTCCAAATGTATGTCTCACACCCAGAAATGAAGGCCCAGATCCTCTGAAAGTATGTAGCCCAGCACTCACCACAGTGCGTCATTACACACTTGCTCTGCAGGTGACCCAGTGCCATTTTTAAACTCTTGTATTGAAGTATATCAGATAAACAGGAAAAGTACACATATCATATATAACTTGATGAATTTCTACAAAGTAAACATATCCCTGTAAACAGCATCCAGATCAAGAAACAAAACACTCCCCAGAACTCAAAGACACCTATCCTGACTTCTTTCACTGTAGATTAGTGTTGTCTGTCTTTAGATCTTCTCTAAATGCAGTTGTTCAGTGTGTATTCTTTCATGTCTGGCTTCTTTTGTTCGATAGTCATTTTATGAACTTCAGACCTTGAGTCTTAAAAATTTATTTATTTTAAAAATTTTTTTAAAGAAAAAGAGGAGAGAGTGGGCCGGCCTCTGTGAAATGAGATCAGCCTGAAGTCTTTTTGTCAAGAAAAATTAGGAGGAACTTCATTATTTCTGTCTAATGAACTAAGGATAGGAATCCCTACTCGTCTTTGTGATTTATTTGTTTGTTTATTTATTCATTTATTCATTTTCTTTTGAGATGGGGTCTCACTCTGCTACCCAGGCTAGAGTGCAATGGTGTAATCATGGCTCACTGCAGCGTCGACCTCCTGAGCTCAAACAATCCTCCCACCTCGGCCTCCTGATACTGAATCAATTCAGAGGGACTCAGGCCATTGCAAAGTTGTGTCTTTGCCTTGAGAATGTCTATAATCTCACTCAGGTACAAGAAAGTGTCTTAAGAGTGTCTGTAATATCACTCAGGTAAAAGAAAATGGTGGATGGAAAATAACCTTCCAAAGAAGCTTGGGTTAATTTAAGCACCCAAGAAATGTTAATCTTGGGCAACACTTCAGCCTTGTTCCAGTAGCTCCTGAGTACAATATTCTGGCAATTTCTCAAACTTTAATATGCATCAGAGGTCCTCATGTACCAGCAGAGCTCATTAACACACAGATTGCTGGGTCTCACCCCCAGAGTTTCTGGTTCAGTAGATCTGGGATGGGGGCTTGAGAATTTGCATTTCTAACACATCCCCAGGTGATGCCCATACTCCTGGTTCTGGGACCACACTTTGAGAACCGCTGATCTATTCGTTATCGCACCTTCCTGGAGTCCAAGGAGTCTATGAAGATGACCCAGGGAGCGCCTTAGAGAGCACTTCAGGGAGCAAGGAGAGTAAGTTGGTGAGATCAGAACTCTCAACTCCACTTCAACCAGAGAAGCTCTCCTCTTGTTTGGTATTTGGGGGGATTCCAGGTAATACCTGCAGAAAGGGTTCTGCTACTAAAATATTTTAAAGTTGAAACTCACTGTGGTAAGAAATTTTAGACCCCAGGGGAATGATATACTTAAACGACATGGTGGTGTGTCTGGAAAGTAATCCAGCCTGCTACAGAAGCCTGGCCTCATGTGTGTTCACAATCTAGATGGTCCTGAGGGGAGACTTAATTTCTTTAGAACTTAAAGAAGTGGATATTTATGAGGATGGAAATGATAAGGAAGAATGCTTAATTATAAAAAGGTGCCAAATTGTGTGTATAAAACATGGTTTCTTCTGGCAACACAGCACACTAAGATGATATGACTAGTGCCTCGTTCCCAATACAAATATAGACTAACACTAGATCAACTAGAACAAAAATTTACATTTCTAGCTGAGCTTTAAAAAAATAAAAAGCAAAATCTGTAGGGAAACAAAAGGAAAAAC